AATAAATATCAAAAATATAAATCTTTGTTTTACTATGGTTGCAAATATCAAAAAATTTCTATAGGTGACACGGCACCAGAGTTAAGTTAGGGTTTTTCAAAATGCTGACACAGCGAGCTCAAAAGGTTCGCCATCACTGAACTAGACTCTGAGGATGGGGGGAGAGAAGAGAAGGACACTAAAAAATAGTCTTACCAATGGACATAGACACTGGGGCGGTGGGGGCTTGCCTGGGGTAGGAATGGCTGGGGTTTGGGGGTCAACTGGGGGAAAAGGAGACATATGTAAAACTTTACACAATAAAATAATAATAATAATAATAATAATAATAGTCTTTCTGCGTAATAAAGGGGCTCTATCCTGACAATTGCCTAACTTGTTTTCCCTTTGCAGGTACTTTTCTCATTTCTATGTCATCTCAGTGCTGTGGAATGGCTTCCTGCTTTGGTGCCTTACTCAATGCCTGTTCCTGGGAGCGCCTTTTCCAGACTGGCTGTACACTTTACTCAGAATTCTTGGGGCTGTGCAATTCCGCGGTAATCACAACCATTGCATCCTGTTCCTACCTTTCCTGCCGGCAGGAAGCTGTTCTTGGTATTTCATAGCCACTGTGAGCAAAAAGAGTTCTGCCTCGTCATACCCATCCCCGTGGGGATGCCCCCAAGCCTTTCACTGAGATCTTGGCAGAGCTGAGACTTAGCTCTTCATCCCCGACTCCACAGCAGTTGCTGGGTGGTGTACGGACTGGCTGCTCTCCCCCTGATACCGTTTGTACTGTTGGTAAATTTACATAGACGTCTTTAGACTTAGGAGAAAAGCTTTTAGGATTCCCTTGTGTTTGCCTTGAAACATCTATACCGTCCAACCAAAACCGTGTCTCAGAACTCCAGAAACGTGCTGGAAAATTACTTTTTGATCACTGGTTACAACTGTGATAGCATAAGGCTTTGGTTTCCTGATAAAATTGACTGTAAAGACATTGACCCAATGATTACAAAACAGACATTAAATTTGCCTCAGATAAAGAACAATTTTAAAATGAAGAGTTGAAGGTGAAAACAAAGTGGCCTCAGTGCATGTCAGGCCGGGAGAGGGGCAGAAGTAGAAACATTGTTCTGGTGCTGGCTCTGCTCAGCAGCCAAGCCACTGGCTCCCCAGGAACAATCCCTTTCTGTGTGAGCAGAGGAACCTGTTGCAAAAGATGACGGTCAGGAGGAAGAGCACACGCAGTTCCTGTTTGGAGGGGAGGGTACCCCACTGAGTCCCGCCTCACATTCAAACTCATCTCTTTATTTTGTTTTTCTGAAGATATTTTTTTAAAATATTTTTATTGATTTCAGAGAGGAAGGGAGAGAGAGAGAGAGATAGAAACATCAATGATGAGAGAGAATCATTGATCGGCTGCCTCCTACAAGCCCCCAACTGGGGATCAAGCCCTCAACCTGGACATGTGCTCTGACCGGGAATCAAACCGTGACCTCCTGGTTCTTAGGCTGACACTCAACCACTGAGCCACGCCGGCTGGGTTTATGTCATTTTTAAAACCGGCATTTCTTCTGACTTCTTTTGGGGTAGAGGAGTGAAAGGCAGGTAGGAAGGTAGATCTCGGGGATTACAGACTCCTAAAAGTATAATTTCTTCTTCTTTTTTTTTAACCTGGAAAGGAATGCAGAATTCTTCTTCAGTTCCTGTCCTCCTTTCTGCCTCTGTGGGTGCCTGTGTCTCTTGTCTCCACAAATCCCAGGGATCCCACCAGGTGGGGCTGCTCAGAGGTCACCCCGGAACTCTTCCTGTCTTCATTATTATTAATGCCCGGGACCCGAGACCCGAGACCCTGTTTGTGAGCATAGGCCCCTTCACAGTGAGGGCCATGCCATCTCAAAGGCTTTCACAGGGTGAAGCTGAGTCAGGAGACCTGAGTTTGTCCAGCTCTGTCACTAGCTCACTGTGTAACCTTGAGCCAAATATGTTGACTTCACATGGCCCACTTCCCCACTGCTAAGAAAAGCAGGGAAGCGTTAGACTGGATGATTTCTAGGCCCTTTCCTAGCTCTACTTTTGTGTAATACTATGTGTAACGGTAGGAATGTATAATTCTGGCTTAACTCCGAAGAGAGACATGCTGAATGTGTTGCTTTCTGAATCGCAGGGGGTGAGTTGGCGCTGTCTGCATTCTTAGTACTGGTGTTTCTGTGGCTGCACAGCTTGCGGAGACTCTTCGAGTGCCTCTATGTCAGTGTCTTTTCCAACGCTGTGATTCACATCGCGCAGTACTGCTTTGGACTCGTCTACTACGTCCTCGTCGGCCTAACTGTGCTGAGCCAAGTGCCGATGGACGGCAGGAATGGTGAGTGGTCCCTGGGCACTGTTACCTGAGTCACCGGGGGCCATGGAAGTTGGAGAGCAGGAGACCTGCCCAATCCATAACGTCTTCAGTAAAGACGGTAAAGGGCAAAGTATTCAGGAGGGTCAGAAGAAATGGGACGTGAGGTTTCCCTCAGTGGGAGTGAGGCAGTGAACTCACGTGGAGTAAGTCTGGAGACAGGAGGAGTGTGGTCCAGAGATGACCAGGGAGCAGGATCACCCACAAACAGGAGAAAGGGTCAGCAAAGACAGTGGCTTCCCCAGAGCCTCAGCCTTCCTGTTTGTGTGGGAAGGTGAGGGGTGAGGCTGGGGAAGGGGAAGTTGTGGCGTAGGATTTGACCATAGAAAACCAGAGGAGTAGCGGGCGGCCTGACTCGGGGTGGATACTTGTGATGTGAAGAGGGAGCAGGGAGCCATTTTTTTGCCGTTTAGGTCTTGGGACTGTGCCATTGCACACAGCTTTCTGTCAGCGAGGCCGCTGTGGGGCGAGGACAGAGGAGTCCTGTGGTAAATCAGAACTGCGTCTTAACAAGTCTGACCTCTTACTAACCAGGAAGAGGGAACCAAAATCATGACTTTTGTTTGTGAGGAGGAAATGAAGTGGGTTTTATTTTGTGGGGGGGAGGTGAATAGCTAACATATATGACTGTCATTTTTGTGAAAACAATACGTGCTTACTGTAAAGCATCAAGTTGTTTGTGGTAACTGAAATGAATCTTTAGGACTGAGGTTAACTTCACCTTGCAGCCCAGGCACTGTCGGGTGGATCGCTCATGACTGTTGTCTCTCAGTCCAAGGCTTCATACATTCATCCTCGTAAACTGAGACCAAGATCTAGACATTTCCAACCCTCAGTGAGGGAGCGTTCTCCTCAGGTTGGATTTCAGTATCAGCGTGCCCCTCTCTCTTGCTATACTACAACTCAGGCCTCCATGGCTTGAGGGATGGTTTTCAAGTACATCTTATTGATGCTGTTTTCTCAATTCATGAATTATTTATCGGCTTCAGCTACTCAGCTAGCATCTCTCCACCTAAGTGCTCTGAACTGAAGTATGTTCTTCCTCCCTGAGCTTTCTGCTGTGGTATTCTTGTGCAGCCCAGTATCAAGGCTTGCGCTGTCATTCCTGGTGTACAGTATGGGTTTTCCACCCCAAGGAACTTGCCTAAGGACTTTGGTAACTCACCAGCTTTCAGTTGCTTCGTTCCCATTGGCAGCACCTGTCTCTTCTGGAGTTTTCTCTGGTGGCCGGGCCCCACCTTCTGCCCTCACTCCTGTGTAACTAATGAAGAGAAGGCAGCCGTGGCACCCACAAAAAGCTTTCCTGATACTCCCTTCTGCAGCTGTCTTTTGTTTCATCTATTTGTCCTTCATATGGGTCAATATGGGGAGAACTGATTTCAGGAATTCATTGAGAGAGAATACACTGGGGCATTTGTCAGCTGTGGGGTCCAATAGAAATGGGCTTGGGGTTAGATGGAGCTGAATCTGAGCCTGGCTTATTTAACTTCTCTTAGCCTTGAACCTTCATCTGAAATCAGGGATATTTACAGATTTCAGAGGATTGGTGTGAAAGTGATAAGAAAGAATATCTCTAAACTACCCAGATCTCCACACCTCCTTGTCTTCAAGTCTAGAGAATTCCCCCAGTCACTCTGATGACACAGTTCTATTTTCTCTTCTTCAGAGTACTATCTCTACCTGAAGTTACCTGGGCTATTGATTTGTTTACTCGATTCTAGTGGCAGCTGCCACTGGAATGTGAATGTATGAGGACTAGGATCTTGCCTGATGCATTCACTGTTTTATGCCTCACATCTACAACAGTTCCAAGCTCAATCAACACCATTAAGTAACAAATAAATGAATGATTAAATGCTACACAGATAAGATGCTCAGTAAATATGAGCCTTCCCCTTTCCTGCATGATAATTCCAGCTTACTCTTACAAATCTTTTTTCCCTCCCAGGTAGTTTCTCTGCATTTAGAGTAGGTGACTGGGTAGTGATGTGAATTCCCAGACACTTGCTTCAACGTTTAATTCTATAGTGACTTGTTCTTAAAGCCCTTTTGATTAAAAACTGAATTTTTCATATTTTGCTTACTTTTTACTTATAAAAAATGACTTTTTAGTTATGTGGCTAAGCCTAGTGAATATTAAGAGACTCTAAGTAGATTGTTTATATAGAGCCAGGTTTAAAAGAAATCAACACAGGTAGACTTTGGTGGACATTCATTAGTCGTCATCTCAAAGTCCTACTCCTAGGTACCCACATGGAATAGCATGATCCTTGCTTCTCTTACCTGGATCAACTTTGTAGGGGCTCCCTCTTGGCTCCAGAGCCTCAGGCTGGTTGGTCCTTGTTATCAATGGACAACTTTGTTTCTTGAGCCAAGTCCCCAACTAGCCCGACTGCTTCCTGCTGATCATAGGGAAGTCCTTAATTTGTTTTTCTGATGCCAGTACTTAAGAGCTCTACATTCTTCTCTTCTTCCACATAGCTGGAGAAGAGAGAAGATAATACTCTGAGTATTTCTTTTCCTAAAACGAAATCTCTCTGACTAGGTTCTGTCTAATCAGAAAGGGGTACTGTTTTGTTTTCCATCTTGGAGTTGACTTTTCTCCTCTTTGTGGGAAGCCCCCACCCTTAGCCTTCACTTGCAGTAGTTTTCTTGATTGACTGGAGCCCAACAAGTCAGCATTCTGCCTTCAGGGTCTCCCTAGCAATGGCTTAGGATAGTAGCTCAGGGAGCGGTTTCAGAAAGTGTTTTTCTGACAGTAGAATATAAGAAAGAAGGCATAAATCCAGGCTTAGAAATTAGCAAGGTTGTCACACCACACGAGAATACATCACAAGAGTAGGAGACAGAGCTGAACTCTGTGCTTAAAGCATTTGAAGAAGGAACAAGAGAATGTATCGTTGTGGAATTTTCTGCCAGGTGCCATTGAAGCTGCCTCTGGCTGAAGAACAAATCTGCTTTGGTGTTCTTCCTCCTGTACTTGGGAAATTCTATCAGCATAGTTTTATAGCCATGAGGAACAGAATAAGTGGATGAATGTGTTCTGCTGACTGTGTGATTTTTCAGTTCCCCGAGCCTCTGAAATTTTGCAGCATTGGCTATTAACACAATTCTTATTTCTGCAGTCTATGTGGTAGGGAAAAATCTCTTGATGCAAACTCGGTGGTTCCATATCCTCGGTATGATGATGTTCATCTGGTCATCGGTCCATCAGTATAAGTGCCACGTCATTCTCGGCAATCTCAGGAAAAATAAAGCAGGTAAGATCTTTTCAAGCCACTGCATGTGGATTTTAACACTCAGAAGTTAATTGTCCATGTACTTTCATCCTTTTCCTTCCTGCCCTAATTAGGTGACTAATGGATCAAATATTCATTTTTGGTAAGACGTCTCTCTGGGTCTTGATCTTCCCATCTGTGAAATGAGAGCATTAGACTGAGAGTTCTCTCTGGCCCCACTAGTCCTGGTATTTATGATTCTACTAGAGGCCTGGTGCATGAAATTCGTGCATAGAGGGTGGGGGGTTGTCCCTCAGCCTGGCCTGCCCCCTCTCGCAATCTGGGACCACTATCTCCTAACTGCCCACCTGCCTGCCTACCTGCCTGATCACTCCTAACTGCCTCTGCCTGCCAGCCTGATCACACCTAACCGCCCTCCCCTGCCATCCTGATCTTGCCCCCAACTGCCCTCCTCTGCTGGCCAATTTGGTTCTGATTGGTCGGTTTCTATGTCACCTGCCTGCCTCATTGACCCTAACCACTCGCCTGCCTGCCTCATCACCCCTAACCACTCGCCTGCCTGCCTCATCGCCCCTAATTGCTCGCCTGCCTGATCGTCCTTAACCACTCTGCCTGCCTGCCTGATGCCCCTTACTGCTCATCTGCCTGCCTGATTGCTCCTAACTGCTTGCCTGCCTACCTGATCACCGCTAACTGCTCAGCTGCCTGCCTGATTGCCCTTAACCACTCACCTGCCTGCCTGATCACCCCTAACAGCTCGCCTGCCTGCCTGACCACCCCTAACCACTCACCTGCCTGCCTGATCGCCCTTAACCACTTGCCTGCCTCATTTCCCCTAACCACTCACCTGCCTGCCTCATCGCCCCTAACTGCTTGCCTGCCTGATCACCCTTAACCACTCTGCCTGCCTGCCTCATGTCCCTAACCACTCACCTGCCTGCCTGATCACCCCTAACCGCTTCTGCCTCAGCCCCTGCTGTGGCAGCTTTGTCCAGAAGGACATCTGAATGACGTCTGGAAGGTCATTTGGCTGTCTGGTCTAATTAGCATATTAAACTTTTATTATTATAGATTCTGTTCCCACCATTTAGGGCAGGGGTCCTCAAACTTTTTAAACAGGGGGCCAGTTCACTATCCCTCAGACCGTTGGAGGGCCGGACTATAGTTTAAAAAAAAACTGTGAACAAATTCCTATGCACACTGCACATATCTTATTTTGAAGTAAAAACACAAAACGGGAACAAATACAATATTTGTATTTGCATGTGGCCCGCGGGCCGTAGTTTGAGGACCCCTGATTTAGGGCCTGCACTGCATATATGTGTCTGACCAGTATGTGAGCACTAGTATGACCATGCTGAGTTAGTATCATCCCAGCCAAAACTCTTGACTTTTTTATTAGTTTTAAAACTTGTGTTAACTTATTACAGGTACAGTTTTTATTAGACTTTTTGAAATATTAAAAATGGAATAGTATTATTCAGCGTTTATTGAGTGCTTATTTTGTGCCAGGCCCTACTTGAGTGTTTTACATATAGCTTCACAAATGCTCACTTGAGGTGGGTGCAGTCTTATCTCCATTTTACAGATGAGGAAACTGAGGCACAGAGAGGTTAAGCAACTTATCTAAAGTCCCCATGGCCATCGCCTTGGGATTCCATAACATAACTTGGTGGCTAGTGGTAACAGCCAGTAGGTGTAGAGCCTGGGTTTGGACTTGTGCAGTCTCACTCCGGAGTCTGAGCCCTTTTTTTTTTTTTTTAATGTTTATGTCATTACAGTGAAACTAAATTTTAAGAGACACTGCATGCCATTTTTTGTATATCATTAGTTTGTTATAAAAGAGACACAGAAATTATTTACGTGATGAAATATTTCAGAACGTCAGTGAAATGGGCAGCTTCACATGATACCATTTCAAGCGATTTATTTCAGTCTGTGTATCTTCCAAGAATGTCACCACCTCTAAATAAGAAATAATCCTTGTTGTTTAGAACTACCTTGGTGCCTCCCCATTCTGGAAGAACTTTGTCTCCAACTTTGACACAAACTGGTCGAGTCTCTCCACCCTTTCTTTTGGAGCCTGATCCAACAGCCACTACTGCTGCTTGCATTGCTTTTCCTTGAGATTTTTCTGGAAGCATAATGCCTCCTTTGGTTACAGTTTCTGCAGCACTCCTTTCAACTAGTACTGGGTCAGAGCGGGGAAAAAACTTTCCGAGTGCCTGTCCTGCCATGACTCCTGCTGCAGCAGTTCATACTCTGTGCAGGGCCCCAAGGAGACACCTACAGTCCGGCCCGCTGGACACTGAACTTGGGTAAAGGCTGCCCAGGGTGCAGGCCCTCCTCCCCGTGAGAGAAAGAAGGCGGCCACAGCTTCGGAGGGCTCTGCACAGGCTACTGACATGACGACTGGCAGGCAGGAGAGAAGAGGATCTTTCTCTAGGCTTTGTGGAGTCTGAGCTCTTCATTTCCAGCTTGGAGGACTGTTGGCGTAACAGGTTCCCCTGTGCTTATTTACAGTTGATAGTGTGACCTGAGCATGTGACTCTAATACACAGTAGACTGGCAATGGAAGTGTGGCAGGAGGGTGGTTTGCACGCATGTCTGTCATACTCTTTTCTAATAGGAGTTTTTGTAACTGATTTGGAGGCGGGGGGCGGGGGGAGCGTGATATGGTAGAACCTTCTTTTCACAGTTTCAGACGTTCAGGAAGTTTTATTTTTTCATTTCAGGAGTGATCATTCACTGTAACCACCGGATCCCCTTTGGAGACTGGTTTGACTATGTTTCCTCCCCTAACTACTTAGCAGAGCTGATGATCTACGTCTCCATGGCCGTCACCTTGGGATTCCATAACATAACTTGGTGGCTGGTGGTAACATACGTCTTCTTCAGCCAGGCTCTGGCAGCTTTCCTCAGCCACAAGTTTTACAAAAGCAAATTTGCCTCCTACCCGAAGCATAGGAAAGCCTTCCTGCCGTTTCTGTTTTGAGAGAACCTCAGTCATGAAGAATGCAGGCCAGGTGGCTGGCTCAATTCCTCAGGACAAGGACATCTAGAGACCAAAGCGCAGTTTCGGCAGAGCTATTAGAAACTCTGTGTTTATACCCAAAGTCTTCACTGGATGAGCAAAGCAATGTCCATCAAGAAAATGAAACTTCAAAGCACTGCTTCTGGCAGACCCGGGAGTGCTGAGTTGCTTTACAAAACCAGCCAACTGCTAAAAACTGGATGAGACTCCTCCAGGCTGCTTCAAAGCAAACTAACCCAGAGCGTGCACACAGCTCCAAACACGCACCTACCGCCACAGAGGAAGAGGAGATCATCTGTGGCTTTGTTAGGGACAAATGAACTGGACATCATAATAAGTGATACAGTAAGTGCTCAGTGACTGCTTGTCGCATTTTAATAAAAGCAGAATAGCTTCTGAAAATAACAACAATATGCCATTTCACACCAAAAGATTCAGGGAACAATGAGTCCATTGTAGTTAATTTATACTTTCACATATTACCACAGATTTCCAGTATGGAATCATCACTAGTCATTTCCACTCCTCTCCCTTAGGGACAAATGAGGACATCATAATAAGTGATACAGTAAGTGCTCAGTGACTGCTTGTCGCATTTTAATAAAAGCAGAATAGCTTCTGAAAATAACAACAATATGCCATTTCACACCAAAAGATTCAGGGAACAATGAGTCCATTGTAGTTAATTTATACTTTCACATATTACCACAGATTTCCAGTATGGAATCATCACTAGTCATTTCCACTCCTCTCCCCCTCACATCATAGCCCAACAGAAAGTCTGAAACCTCTTTTATTGAATACTTTTTGACACCCTTTTCAGGAGAGTACCTTAAAATGAAAGCATCTGAAAATAAAGTATTTTTGTATTCATGCATGAGAAGCCTTGAGTGAAATTGAGTTACACTTCGGATTAGATAGTACTGTAGCCTCATTCATATGTAGTTATTCAAATTGGATTAATGTCTGCCTGAGTTTATTTTAACTAGTAGAATGAATTGAAGCTATTGAGGATTAAAGTTGACACTTAAAATAGCTTATGTTAAAATACCCACGGTTAAATCAAAGGGAAATAAATGCATTATGTGAAAGAAAAACAAACTTGAAAAATAATTTTTGCTGAGTGATGCAGCAAAAATTTCACATTCATGCAACGTAAGATTTACTGGCTTATTGACTGGGGTATTAACTTCATTCCTATTATGTAGATGTAGTATTTTGGTCTACTTAGTACTAAAATTTTGTACTAATATATATCTTGCTAAGGAGGAAAGAACCTAATTAGGAATCAGGCACATATCAAACATAGTCTATGTATTTCCTCCCCTGCATCATGTGCCCTTTATCTTCATTGCATAATTAAAGTACCTCAAGTAGTAGACCAAAGCTGTTAAACTGAGATTCTTTTTACTTAATTTTAATATATGCATGTCAGAGCATATTCTAAAGCTCTTACAATAATTCTGCTGTCGCATTTTCCCTCCCATCATTCAAATACCACTTCAATGAGTTGCTCAGTCTATTCGAATAAGTGACATATTTATTTATTTATCATTTAGATTTGCCATCTTCAGGACCGGGACTCAGGAACCAAACTTTCTACATTGGAAATGTAAAGCATATTGTAGTTTGGCCTTAACGTCCACACCAATGGCATGAATAATTTTGAACAGCAAATTACTTGGGAGGAAATGTATTTTGCTTCAGCATGCCATTTTACACTGGGTCAGACTAGAATTTGGCCAATGTTCTGGAATGTCACTGTACTCGTAACTAAAGTAATGAGCATCCCTGTGAAGAACGATTCTTGGGGCCTTGACTAAGCGTCCCCAGGCCCTGCTATCCTTGCTGTCCCTTGCACGCTCTTTCATGCTCCTCCCTTTACTTTTCCCTTTCTTGCCCAAACATTGCATTTCTGTGTGAAGATAAAAGAGGAAGTCATGATGTCCTCAGAGGGGCTCAGAACAAAGTAGCGCGGTCTTTGACAAAAGCTTAGCCACGGAGAATAACTGAGAATGGCGCGGCACTTGCAAGATCACAGTCAGCACTGCTTTTTGTGTCAATGAAAATTGTCCCTGTGCCTAAAGGGAGAGCACCGAAGAGAGTCAGCAAATTCATCACACGGGGAATCCGGAAATCACTTAGGGGTGGGGACTCTTGATTTTCCTGCAAGCTTAGTTGAGCAACCTCATTTCATTCTCTACTACTATTAAATTAGGGGGAAATGATACTGAACTACCTCATAACAGCATTCCCTGGGTTACCTACTGCCTATAAAAAGTGTGCAGAAAATAGCCTTTGTTAAGTCTCCAAGTTGTAACTCATCCCTTATGCTAACACTTGATTTCAGCAAGCAGGGATGATTTTATATCCACAAGACTGTTCTGTATTAGGCGGTTTTTAAAAATTTATCTTCAATTGTTGAAAGTATTACAGATGTCCCCTTTTTTCTCCATTGACCATCTTCCACCAGGCCTTCACCACACTATTGTCAGTGTTCATGGGTTAAGCAAATATGCTTATAAATTATTTGGTTAATCTCTCCCCACCCCCATATTATGTTTATAATTCAATGAGTGGTTATTGCTAGAATTCATACCAAAGATAAAGGAGTCTTTGCAGAGCGTTGGCCGGTTTTCTCAATGGTCAAAGCGTCAGCCTGTGGACCGAGGGGTCTCGAGTTCGATTCCTGGTCAAGGGCATATTTCCTGGGTGCATGCAGGAGACAACCAATCAATGAGTCTCTGTCACATCCATGTTTCTCTCTCTCTTCCCCTCCACCCTTCCTTCCACTCTCTCTAGAAATCATTGGAAGAATATCCTCAGGTGAGGACTAAAAAGAAAAAAAAAGAGCCTTTGCAGATATTTTATATGAAGCTTAATAGATAGTCTAAAGATACTATAAACATTTGCATAATTAAAGTACCTGAAAACTCAAGAACCATTGATGAGTAATATAGCTCTAAATGAACTAATATATTAAAGAATACCTTCAAATAGTAAAGGAGCAAGTAGACATTTTTTATACCTCTGTAAGCAATTTCTGCCCAGTCTTTCACATTACTTTTTGTACATTTCATGTCTCTGCCCTGGATTTAGTTTTGTGGTTACCATTACATATGTGTAAATGTCTCAGACATACAAATAGTCCTTTCTCTTCTGATTGTCTTTTATCTTCATTCAACTGTACCTGTCCAGTCTTTTACCGCCTCCCCTTTTATGATTTTAACCTAAATTCTCTTTTTATATTGTGCATTCGTAACCAAATGGCAGTAGTTGTTTTTTAAAATATTTTTGTTAATTCTTTTTGAGAGAGAGAGGAAGGGAGAGTGAGAGAGAGAAACGTTGATATCAGAGCAAAACATCCATTGGCTGCCTCCTATATACCTCCTTCCTGCATACCTCCTACCTGCATACCGCCTCCCAGGGATCCAGCCCGCAACTGTGTCATGTGCCCTGATAAAGAATTGAACAGATGACACCCAACCAATTGAGCAACACTGACCAGGGCTATAATTATAGTTATTTTTAATCCATTTCCCCGCCTTTAACTTTTATAATTATTTAAAACCTATTCTGAAGTAGAGTTGCAATTTCCTGCTTCTGTCTGTCAGTCATGGTACTCAAAGTTTTATATACTTTTGTCTTTTTGTTTCTGGTAGATCAGCTCCTTCCAATATTTCTTATAGTGCAGGTCTTAGAGTGGTAAGTTTTCTCAGCTTTTGTTTGTCTGGGAAAGCCTTTATTTCTCCTCCATATCTGAAGGGTAACTTTGCTGGATATATTACCCATGGCTGATGGCTCCTCTCCTTTAATATTTTGAATATTTTCTTCCACTCTCTCCTGGCTTGTGATGTTTATATTGAAAAATCTGATGAGAATCTAATAGGGCTTCCTTTGTAGGTTACAATTTTTCCCACCGGCTGCCTTGAGAATTCTTTCTTTGTCATTAATTTTTGACAGTTTGAATAAAATGTGTCTTGGGGAAAGTCTTTTTGTGTTGAAATCAGGTGTTCAGTTAGCTTGCTCTAAAGTCCAGTCTTTCCATGGGTGTGAGAAGTTCTCATAGGTTCCCCGTTCCCTTCCTCTTTCTCTCCTTCTGATATACCCTTATCCTTATGTTGCTGATTTTAATAGATTCAGAGAGCTCTCGGTAGAGGTCTTTCCTTTATTTTTCTTAACTCCTTATTTTTTCTTAACTCTCTTCTTCCTCTAGGTTTCATTCTTAGAGCTCACTAATTCCTTCTCATATCTAGTCTGCTCTATTTCCAGTGCTCTCTAATGCATTTCTCATTTCATTTAATGAGTTCTTCAACTCCAGAATTTAATTATTTCTTACATTTTCACTCTCTTGGTAAAGTAATCCTTTTGTTCCTTTACTGAATTTCTGAGCTATTTGAGCTGCCCATCTGAGTTCTCTTATTATCTCATTGAGCCTCTTCATAATTGCAATTTTGAATTCTCTGTCATCTAAATCACAATATTCCAGGACTTTGGTTGCTGGAGACTTTTCGTTTTCTTCCTGTGCTTCCAAATGACCTTGATTGTTCCTGGTATCTGATGGATTGTTTCTCTGCCTGCACATTTGAGGTAATGATTTTTTTTTTCTTGTTTAGATACTTGTTTTGCTCTCAACAGTGCAGCAACTTGATAGGTAGGGCACTTTCTTTTGTTTTCCAGTAGATGGTGTTATAGTGCAAGTTTTTGTTTTGTTTTAATTTTTTAAAATATATTTTATTGATTTTTTACAGAGAGGAAGGGAGAGGGATAGAGAGTTAGCAACATCGATGAGAGAGAAACATCGATCAGCTGCCTCCTGCACGCCCCCCACTGGGGATGTGCCCGCAACCAAGGTACATGCCCTTGACCAGAATTGAACCTGGGACCCTTGAGTCCACAGGCCGACACTCTATCCGCTGAGCCAAACCAGTCAGGGCTTTTGTTCTTTTCTTGCTTGTACTATTTGTGCCTGGAATCACAATGGATCTCTCCGTGGAGTAGCTCATATCATGGTCCTCAAGTTCCATCCGAGCAAGCAAGCAAGGGTGTGCAAGACACATGACACAGTCTCTCCGTAACCTAATCTTGGAAGTGACATCTCATCCTTTGGCCATATTCTGTTTGTTATAAGGGAGTCAGTATGTTCAACCCACTAAAGCAAACTTTAGAGTTCAGGATTTTCATGCAATTCAGGATTACAGCAATTGGTGTGGGACACGACATAGGAATGGATACTCTTTCTTCTCTCCCATACTCCAGAGTCTACAATGCTGAAAGTAAAATTTGTTAGAAGATGAGTGCGCTCCATGAAACTAAACTCAAAAACTTAGAGATGGGAGAGACATCTTTTATCTTTTATGAAACTCCCTATTTCATTGTTCAATAGTTTTGTTTTTCTATTCCAGAATTCCAGAATGTATAGAATAAGTCCTATCCATAATGATGGTTTTATATGTTTTACTATTTCCCCTTCTCGGAGCAACTTCAGGTTGTCAATTTGTTAAATTGTGTTGTTCTTATTGTTTTATATAAGAAGGACATAGGCTCTTTTTTTTTAAATTTCTTTATTGGTTAAGGTATTACAAATGTGTCTTCATCCCCCCCTTAACCCCCCACCCTCCCCCACCCCCCTCCACCGAGAATCATTGATTGGCTACCCCTTGCACACCCTACACTGGGGGTCGAGCCCAAAACCTAGGCAACTGCCCTGACTGGGATTTGAACTGTGATCTCTTGGTTCATAGGTTGACGCTCAACCACTGAGCCATGCCAGTTGGACTGGGTGTTTTTATTTTTTTAAAAATTCTTTATTAGTTAAGGTATTACAAATATTTCCTTATCCCCCCTATTCCCCCTGTCGTCCAAGTCCATTGGTTTGGCTTATATGCATGCATACAAGTCCTTTGGTTGATCTCTTCCCCTTACCCACACCCTCCCCTACTTTCCCTCTGGGGATTGATAGTCTGATAGCTGTTTCTCTGTCCCTGTTCATCAGTCTATGTAGTTCTCTATATTCCACAAATGAGTGAGATCATGTGATATTTATCTTTCTCTGACTGGCTAATTTCACTTAGCATAATGCTCTCCAGTTCCATCCATGCTGTTGCAAATGGCAAGAGTTAAGAAGGACATAGGCTCTTAACTCAGATGAATTTTATTTGCATTTCCTGGATTGCATTCTCTGGAATGTCTATCAGGGTGTGGCAATTTAGTTGCAGAAGAGTGTGATACTATGAGGGTGTGTTGGAATGAATAAGTAAGGTCTGAGAATGCCATTTTTTGGCATGCCTACTAATCATTTTTACTTATTCTAGGGTGTAGACTTCTCATCAAGATCAAAAGGCATTTTGGATACAGGTAGACCCTAAAACTGGCTAGTAGAGTTAACAAAGGGCATGGCTACCTACAGACTGAGCACTCACTTCAACTTGCCTTGCAATATCCAGGCCTACCTTTCATTTTCATGACTTGACAAGGTCTGTTGTCCTTTACCATAAAATTCAAACTTGTATATAGTAAGAATCAAGAAAGACCCCCAAGGAAAGTACTTAATGGCATCATAGCACCCTGATTTGCCTACTAAAGGAAACAGCTTTTAAGAAAGTGTTATAGGCTCTGTTATAAAGACCCTCCCCTCATCATCTCCCACTTGCATACTGTATATTCTGATTAGATTTCCTAGTCAGCAGTCTTTCATAGTTTCGTCTTAGACAATATTTATAAAATTATCTTTGCACACTCTTGGTGAAGAATAATGCCATCTTAATCTTAGATCTAGGAAAGAATTAAGTCCTC